TTCATGTGCTCTCTGTCAAATAAACTTAAAAATAAACATTAGCACAGACCCACTCATAGACCTAGTCTCTTTGATCTGCTTAAGAATGACTTTGCTCCTGCTAAATAACAAAAATTCATGTAAATTTGAAGATCTAATTGGCTTTATTACATGATTTATGATTCAGGTAGCATCCTGTTGAGCAAGGCATTCCGAGGAGTTGTATCAAATGGACAGTTCTTATAGAAGGAAGGTGGAGGCAAGAAAGTTATTAGCAAAAGAAAAGGATTGTTTTAGGCCAGGCTGCTTTCTAGGGAGGAAAAGCTAGGAGTCTAATGCAGATAACCTCATATTCCTTTGGTGGAGAGGGTCCATGTTGGCATACTTATTGGTGTTAATGGAAAAATTCCTGACTGATGATTTAAGACTACATTTCTGAGGGAGTTTGAAACTGCAGTTAGATTATGTATTAAGCACAAGGTTTGGAACTTGGTCACAGTGACATAATTTTGGGCTTTTGGGTTTTTGTTGTTTTCTTTTTCTTTTTTCTTTTTTTTTTTTTTTTTTTTTTTTTTTTTTTTTTTTTTTTAGCCAAAATCTCAGTGGCTTAAAAACAACAAAGGTTTGTTTCTCTTTCATACCACGTGTTTAACATGTGTTGGCAGGGGTCTTACCTCCTTACAGTCACTCAAGAACCCAGGCTGGTAGAGTAGCTGATATTTCCAGTGTTACTGATTTCAGTGCCAGAGGGAGAAAGAACTCTGGAAGATCTTGCTTGGCAGTTAAAATCCTCTGGCCTGGAGGTGAGACATCACTTTCTCTCACAGCTCATTGTCTAGAGCTAGTCACAGGGCTGTACCAGCCATAGGGTGTTTCAAGTGCTCAGAGGAGAGCAGGAAGTACGGAGTGTACACAGTGAAGACTGTCATACCACCCTAGTTGGGGTCACTATGAGTGGATTGCTTGATTAGGTGCTTACAAGGTTTCCTGGCTTAACTTCTTTATTGTCCACTCTCTGTACAGAAGTCAGTGATTTTTCTAATCGTCTGATAACATCAGTCTCTGTTTAAGGCTGATCATCATTGCTTTTCAGGTGAAGGTTATCTTTTCCTGCCATCTCCATGCCTTACCTGATCTAGTCTCCCGTTACCTTTCATACCCATAATCATTGTTTTCCTTGTACTCTCTCTTAGTGATATTGGCCTGTATGTAGCTCTTTTAACATGCTTTACTCTCTTGCCTCTTGACCTTTACCCATATTGTATCCTCTTTGTGGAATATTCTTTCTTAGCTCCTTCCCTCTTCTGAGCAAATCCTATTCCTCTTTTAGGTTGCAGGTTAAAAGTCCTATTATCTCTACTTTCCTATTTGAATTTGGTGCTTAGCCTTTGATTCCCATAGCACTCACTGTTTCTGACAAAGCTATTGTGTGTCATTGCAATTGCATGATTGTTTGCCATTGTAACCTAATCTTTCACACAGAGAAACACTCAATACATGTTTGTCAAATACATGTTTGTTGAATGGCTAAATAAATTACAGCATAAGGTGGGGAAAAGTTAAGTGTCTGTTATCAAGAAATTTAGTAATTAAAGGATCTTTATGCTTTCCATCCATGTTAAGGACTCCAGAGTTTACTATTTATGAAAATGTGATTTTAACAGTGCTCAGAATAGCTACTTCCCTAAGTATTGAGTATACCAGGTTTCACAAGTCCTTTGAAAGTTGGTTACATTATTTGTGTGTATTTCTAATGTTAGAAAAAAAAATTTTGTATAAAAGGGATTTCAAACCAAGAGGGCTCTCTAAATGAGAAGATATATATTTTTTCACTTCATATATCAGATATTTTCTATTTTGCCTTAATTTTCAGTAGCTTTTTAATCTAGGTTGATGTGTCATATGTAAAGGCTATTATTTCCATTTTGTTGGTGGTGGTGTTACGTTGAGTAATGCTATTACAAATATCTTTGTATCTTGAGCTTGTTTCTTTTGAACTAATTTCTCAGGGTAGATTTCTAGGAGTGATATTTCTGGTTAAGGGCAGTTGTAGTGGTTAAGAGCATGCTTAGGTTTGTTCATGGGTGGTAGCAAAGGATTAGGGTTATAAAATATAATATCTTTACAGCCCTTGTAATTCCAAGAAATAAAACTGAAGTATTTCTTTTTTTTTTTTTTTTTAATATTTATTGAGAGACAGAGTGTGAGCGAGGGAGAGGCAGAGAGAGAGGGAGACACAGAATCTGAAGCAGGCTCCAGGCTCTGAGCTGTCAGCACAGAGCCCGACGTTGGGGCTCGAACTCACGAACTGTGAGATCATGACCTGAGCTGAAGTCGGACACTTAACCGAGTGAGGCACCCAGACACCCAGAAACTGAAGTATTTCTTAATAGGTGTTACATGGTCATTTTTGTCTTTTTTTTTTTTTTTTTTTTTTTTTTTTTTTTTTGGCAGTCTTTTCCTACATAGGTATCTTTAGACCTTGAGAATAATAAATATGAGCAACAAAAGAAAAAGCTCAAGAAATACAATTTAAGGGTGTACTAGAAAGTTTTAGTTTGAAAACAGCCTGATCCTTCTTATACCATGTATTTATTATTAAACAGTAAGTCAGTTTTATGAAAATTTTATGCATGTATACTTGTGACCTTTCTATTTTCAGACTTTTTTCCTCTCTAATCTTTACATAAAACTGGTCTTTAAAAAGTGTATTAGTTGTCTTCTGTAAACTAGCAAATACTGCTTTTTAATAAGTAGAGACTTTATGTGTAAGTGGAATCATTTTACTTTGGATTTAGGTAAGCATTTTAAATAGCATTTTTATTACCAAAACACACAGAGGGTAGTTATTGTTTTGGTCTACATGGTTTGTGTAGGTCAAAGTTATTTGATCTTTCTCGTGTTTTCTAGCTTACATTTTGCTGCTTAATATTGAAATCTAGGAATCTTTTATCCAGTTTTTGAAGTGTCATTTTAAGTACATTGGTAACTTATTCACATTCATGAAGATTTTGTGTATATTTAATGAAAGGGATACACAAACAAAAAGTGCATATTTAACTTGTTTTTCCCTTCTATTAGAAATCTTTTAATTATTCAGAATCGGAGTCAGTTAAAAAAATTTTTTTTAATGTTTATTTATTTTTGTGAGAGAGAGAAAGAGTGTGAGCGGGGGGGAGGGACAGAGAGAAGAGGATACACAGAATCCGAAGCTGTGCTGTCAGCACAGAGCCCAACGCAGGGCTCAAACTCACGAATCACGAGATCATGACCTGAGCTGAAGTCAGACCCTTAGCTGACTGAGCCAGCAGGTGCCCCTCAAGAGTCAGTTTTATAATAACAGTTGGCCTCAGAAAATTTTCCTTTTTTCTTCAGTAGTTGAAGGCTATTTGCAGAGATTTTGTTCATCTTAGGTAGAGTGCTAGACGACTTCAATTTCACGTTTTCTGATGTTGTCCATCATACTTCTAAGAGGGTTTGGTTCGCTTTTCAAATCTTTCACAGTCTTGTTTTTTACACAGCAGCAACAGTCAAGCACTTCATAAAGAAAAGCCAACACCACTAAAGATACCACTGTAAATATGAATAAAAGCAGAATGACAAAGCAGGCAGTGTTCCAGTTATCATGAAAAGGGTAAATTTTTTGAACTTGAAAACCAAGGTACTGATAAACAGATGTAGTGGTTTCATTCCAGAGGCTGGAGCTCAGAGAGGCCATTCTTAGGGATTATACTTCTTGTATTGGTTCTTTTGAATCTGTAAAAAGGTAGAAAATGAATACATGTAATCAAATTCTATGGATCTGTCAATTGAAGTCTCAGTACTAAGACTTGTTAGTAAATCTATGTAGGTAACGTGAGTTCTTTTATTTTCTGCCAGAATTAATGCCCAAATGGTATTTTTGAATTTTTTCTTTATCCTATGGCAGTGTACTCTGTAAACCATACTATATATGTATGTATATTTTTTAAATGCTTATTTATTTATTTATTTTTTAAAGGGGTGGGGAGGGGCAAAGAGAGAGGGAGACACAGAATCTGAAGCAGGCTCCATGCTGTCAGTGCAGAGCCTGATGCAGGGCTCGAACTCAGGAACTGTGAAATCATGAGCTGAGGCAAAATCAAGAGTTGGATACTTAACTGAGCCACCCAGGTGCCCCCATACCATGTGTTTTTTTCATGTGTGTCATTTGCTAGACAAATACATATGCTTAAGGTTTATATACAGAAACTAACTGCTAATAGAAGGGGGAAAAAGAAGTTGAATTGTTTTAAAATTTAACTAAAGCAGTGGTCAATGATCTGTTAAATACAAAAAAATCTTAGTGTTTTAAGGTGGTATTCTTCATACTGCCCTCAGAAAAGCTTTTCTCATTAACTTTGAGGATCCTTCTTACCTTGTGGGCTCAGTGTATTTCTGTCTCCTATTTCCTCTCCTTTAAACTTTGAAGACAGGTGACCTGAATCAAGATATAGTGGCTGAGTGAAAATACTAGAGAAAGGAAAGCTAAATAATGACGGTTTTCAGAATAAGGATGATAAAATTTTAGGTTCATGTTGCCTATGAAGAGACCTTAATCTTAGGATTTTTTTTTTTTTTTGTTAAGTATGTGATAGTATTAACTGTTCATATACCTGAATGATCTATGGATACGAATATTTTACTTTTATTTTTATTTTGAGAGAGTGAGCATGCATGTGCATGGGGGAGGGGCAGAGAGGGGGAGGGAGAGAGAGAGAGCGAGAGCGCAAGACAAGCAGGCTCTGCACTGTCAGTATGGAGCCCAGCAAGGGGCTCTGATGTACAAACTGTGAGATCATGACCTGAACCGAAACCAAGAACCAGATGCTTAGCCGACTGTGTCACCAGGCACCTCTTCTTGAAACTTAATTTTAAAAAATTATAAAATGCTTATATACTGAGAAAATTTTGGAAATAAGGGGAAAAAATAGTTCCACTTTATTAATTCAATGACTGCTGTCAGTTTGAAAGCTTTATTTTATTAAAGAAATGACTTATTTTGTGTGATTTTTCTTTCCTACATAGTTGTAAATAGACTTTCATTCATTGTTATAAACAAATATTTACCTACTGTGTCCCAGATAGTATTCTGAATGCTGAAGATACTTGTGTGTGAGAGTATATTTCAATTAGACAAAACTTTAAATTTTTTTTTTTTTTTTTTTCAACGTTTATTTATTTTTGGGACAGAGAGAGACAGAGCATGAACGGGCAAGGGGCAGAGAGAGAGGGAGACACAGAATCAGAAACAGGCTCCAGGCTCTGAGCCATCAGCCCAGAGCCCGATGCGGGGCTCGAACTCACGGACCGCGAGATCGCGACCTGGCTGAAGTCGGACGCTTAACCGACTGCGCCACTCAGGCGCCCCATCAATTAGACAAAACTTTAAGATAGTTGAAGAGTAAGAGTATAATGAACCCCTGTATTCTCATAATACAGCTTCAGTTACCAATTTGTCTTTACCCATTTGTTTCTACCTCATAGATTATATTTTTCAAGTTTGTTTAAGTAATCTCTATACCCAGTGTGGGGCTTGAACTCACAACCCTGAGATCAAGAGTTGCATGCTCTTCTGACTATGCCACCTAGGGGCCCCATGCCCCTAGATTATTTTGAAGCAAATCCCAGACATCATCACTTCTCCTAGACATCTTCAGTACATATCTCGTAAAAGGTGAGGGTTCTGTTTGTAAACATAGCCACCATAGCATTGTCACACCAACAAAGATGAAAAAGTGACTTAAAGCCCAAATCCATAACAGTATAATTCCTTAAATTTTTGTTTTCTTTATACATGTAATCTTAAAACTTTAATAAAGTAATACTTTCCAAGGTTTTTGTTTTCTTTTTATAATTTATCACTTTTAAGTAAACTCTGTGTCCAACATGGGGCTTGAACTTACAACCCGAGGTCATGAGTCACATGCTCTACTGACTGAGCCAGCCAGGGACACGAAAGGTTTTTTCCTTTAAATCATATTTGCTTGGCAAGTAACTGCATCTCTCTGGATGGACTTGGTTCTTCCTTTGTGTATTTTGAAGGTGAAATTGATGATCTGAGGGGTACCTTGGTGGTTCAGTTGGTTAAGTGGCCGACTCTTGATTTCATCTCAGGTCATGATCTCACCAGTCCTTGGATGAAGCCCTGACTCTGGCTCTGTGCTGGGTGTGGACCCTGTTTAAGATTCTCTGCATTCCTGGGGCACCTGGGTGGCTCAGTCAGTTAAGCATCTGACTTCAACTTAGGTCATGATCTCACGGTCTGTGAGTTCGAGTCCTACATCAGGCTGTGCTGACAGCTCAGAGCCTGGAGCCTGCTTCAGATTCTGTGTCTCCCTCTTTCTCTGCCCCTCTCCCACTCGCACTCTGTCTCTCCCTCTCAAAAATAAAACAAAAACATAGAAAAAGTTGTTTAAAGATTCTCTCCATTCCTCTCCCTCTGTCTATATCCCACTTGCTCATGCATACGCTCTTGTTCTCTCTCTGTGCTCTCTCTTTCAAAAAACAAAACAAAACAAAACAAAAAAACCCTGAGGCCAGAAGTCAAGGCTTAAATTCATTTTTTTTTTTTGGATTTAAGAATCCTTCAGTTTCATGGTTTGTGGTGATCCTTCATCTTGAAACAAGGGACAACAGACTAATGGACAGTAACTGAATCAGTTGCTTTTATTAGTTCTGGGACATACAAAAATATATTGTCTGGAATACAGGTATGTGATGAACTTCCCAGTACTTTACAATATTTTCAAACTTTGGAGACCCAGCCTTTTAGAGTTACCCTCTTTTATCCCTTAAATTTTTCTCTTCTTAGCATATTCCTTTTTTTTTTTTTGTCTTTCTTTTTTTTTTTTTAATGTTTATTTATTTTGAGACAGAGAATGTGAGCAGGGTCAGGGCAGAGAGAGAAGGAGGGAGAGAATGCCAAGATTCTGTCTGTGCTGTCAGCATGGAGCCTGACTCAAGGCTCAATTTCATGAACCATGAGAACATGACCTGAGCCGAAACCAAGAGTTGGATGCTTAATTGAGTAAGCTACTCAGATGCTCCACTTCTTAGCACATTCTTACAGAAACTGGGGCTGCTACATTGCAGACCTCCAGGGGGCACCATTCATATTGTGTTGTGAGTGCCATTCATGTAGAATACATGGTAAGTGGTGCCCTGGGAGTCTAATGTGGATGTCCTGATAGGCCAGTCCTCCATCCTCTGCATTGGTGCTGCCTCTGATTCTCATCACCATGCACCCAAGTAAAGTAACCCATAGAAACGGACTCAACTGGAGACAAATAATAGTCCTTTTTGACCCAGCCTTCCTAACAGAGTAGTGACATGTGTGTGCAGACACACAAATGCCTAGAAGATGTTCAGCTTTGGAAGTCCTTTAAAATTTTTAGTACTACTAAAATGCAGATCCTTTTGGGAGGGATAGTACACATTGTTATATTTACTTCACTGTGAATGAGTTTTGGGTCCTTTCTGAAAAGTAGAGCAAATATAAGAGAAGGAGAAGAAGAATAGGACCTTGAGGAAATAAAGAACAGGGCCATTTATTATATGGATAGATAAAAAGCAGGAAGAAACACAGGAGGGTCTGTCTAATAATTTTACCTGGGTAAACCTAGGACCTCTCCTGCATTGATGAGAATATTCTTAGATTTTCTGTCAAGGCCTTTCAGGTTGATTCCTTTTTTTTTTTTTTTTTTTTTTTTTTTTTTTTTTTTTTTTTTTTTTTTATTTCTTAAGATTTACATTTTTAAGTAATCTCTAAATCCATTGTGGGACTCAAACAATCCCAAGATCAAGAGCTGCATGCTCTACCAACTGAGCAGCCAGGTATCCCAGATTGATACCTTTTTAAAATCTGGGAATTTTTTGGGGCGCCTGGGTGGCGCAGTCGGTTAAGCATCCGA